CCCCCCCCGCCACACAGCCCCTGGGAAATCAGGTCCCCTCTGGCCCCACAGCCATTCCCTGGATTTAAAAGGCGTCACCCCGCAGCCTTCCCCACAGCACCCCCTCAACGTTGCCTGACTCCCACGGACCCACACCTGAGCGAGAAGGGGCTTAAGGAGGGCGACAGCGCTGAGCTGAGCACAGCCACAAAGAGCCACAAAGCCTACGGCAGCTTGGGGCTGAGGCTGAGGTCCCCAGCGCCACGGGTGGCCCAGATGAGAAAGGTGTGGAGGGGGAGCAACGTTGGTGCAGTGCCGTGCTCCCCTTGGCGTGCCTCGGGCTGGAAAAGGCCACAAAGCCTACAGCTCCGGGGACACTGGGGCTGGAAAAGACATGCCACCCATGGTGCTGGGGACCTCAGCCTCAGCCCCAAGCCACCGTTAAGGGTTAGGGTTCAGAGAGCCATAGAGCCCAGTACAGCCATGCACGCAGAGCTTCCCCTCACCCCGCTGACCACCCCGGTCCCCTGCAAGGCCCCCGCTCTGTGGGAGGGACAAAATGAAGCATCTTGTCTCCCATGGCTTCCCTGACCCCTCTCGCCCCGTCACCCTGGGCTCTTACCATGGCAATGAAGCGGCCGATGAAGCGGAAGTAGGTGAGGTGGTCGGGGTTGATGGAGGAAGCAGGGTTGATCTGCAGGCAGTAGTTGTTCTTGCCAGCATATTCAAAGAGGCAGTACATGGGGTTGAGCACCTCATGAGACAGTAGGAAGAACCACTCCCTGGGGCAAAAGGAAGGGAGAGCGCGGTGACGAGCAGCTCGAGGAGCCGGGGGCACCCAGGGGCTGCACAGGGAGGCTGCACCCCAGTGGAGGGGACAGCCATGTGCCTGCGCAGCACACCCCGCACGAACCAGGTGCCCATCTCCTCAGTGCAAGCATTGGGCCCTGGTGTGCCTTAGCGAGGGTGTCCTCCGCCCCAGGGGTGCTGTACCTGGTTTGTGAAGGGCTTCTGGAGACACCAGCAAGAAGAGACACCTCCCCAGGCTGCTGAAGGCCCCGCTCAGAGCAACGGGGATCCCGGCAGGCGCAACACGGCTCAGTCCCACCCATGCTTGTCGTACGCATACACACACACGCTGCTGTGTACACACAACTCCAGCCTCCCCACACGAGCCCCACCCTGAGCTCAAAGCAGTGCGGGACGGGTACCCAGGTACTGTGCCGGCTTTGCTCCCCCAGCCGCGCAAGGAGAAGGCAGTCCTCGGACGCAGAGGCAGCCCCGGCATCCCGTCCGTGGTTCTACCCTGTGGTAGAACAGCATGACGTAACCTACCATAGGGTAAAACCACTGGCAGGACACAGAGAGAGGCGGAGAGCAGGAGCCCCTGCACCAGAGCCGGGGGGAGCAGCACCACCAAGGAGGAGCAGGAGAGTGCGGCAGGCAGGGGGGAGCATTAACCCAGCATATGCTCCGACCGAGCTGGCTGGGGCTGATGGGGACACAGAGGGCCCCCTCCAGCCAAGACACAGCCCGTGCTGTGCAGTAACACCATCCTCAGGTGCATCTGCATCCTCGTAGCAACTGCATCGCACCGCATCTACCCTGGCATGCACCAACTGCCCCAGAAAACACCAGGGCCTGTCAGCTGCGGGGAGAAGAGACTGCTCGACCCATCACCTCCACATCTCAGGAGCAGCAAGCGTTGGCACTCAGAACTGCGGGCGGCAGGAGAGCCCCAGCCAGCTCCCCCAGCCCGCTCTGTACCAGGGACAGGCTGCTGCAATGCTTTCAGGGCGTTCCACCATTCCCAAAACTCAGTCCATTTCCCATTTAAACATCCCTGGGCTCCTCCGCTGCATAAAGTAGGTGCTGCAGAAAGGCTTAGGTACCCCAAGGGCAGCTGCCAGACAGGCTCCCCCACCTGCACCATCCTTTAGTGATTCACACCGCAGGCAGGGCACAGACCTGGCAGCGGCAGGCACGTGGTCTGGCACACCGGCACTCACCTAGCGATGCCACCATAGTCCAGGCCCTCCTCTCCTCGCATGATGATGTACAGACGGCGCCGCAGGTCGTACGGCTTCATGTTCATGATCTGGGGAGAAGCAAGCGGAAGCATTACTGCGAGCTGGCACGAGGTGCTCCACACCTCCCCAGGTTCTGCGGCCCCTGCATCTCCTCACCTGCTGGAAGGAATCCTCAAAGAGCGTCTGTCGGGAAACACTGATCTTCACGTGGCTGGGCAACGCGTTCGACTACAAGCAAGGCAGAGAGACACGAGGCTTTGTGCAGGCTGGCACAGCAGCTCTCCTCACCCGCGCCTGCCCACAAGGTCAGGCTGTCCATGCACCCACCCAGCCCTGTGGCTCAGCAGCCCCCAAGCCGCCGGGGCACTCCGGCCGCTCTACTCACGTGGCAGAGGAAGCGGAACTGGTGGTACTTCCAGCGAAAGCTTCGGTCGTACGCCCCTGGGGAGCCACCCTGCTTGCTCCTGCAAAAGCAGCACAAGCCTTGGTTCATCACCCCTGCCTGCCCCGGCGCAAGCAGCTCAGCAGCCTCATCGCCTGCCAGGCGGGAGGAAGATCTCTGGGGCACAGTTCACCTCCATCAGAACCAAATGTGAGGCCCTAAACCCGCTACTCAGTCTCTTTGCAATAAAGCTGACCAACTTCCCCCACTCGGTATCAGGACCACGAGAAGGCACGAGCTGCGAACAGGCGGCTCGAGTCCCAGCTCCCAGTGTGCAGCCCGGCTGCAGAGCAAGGAGCCCAGCCCAAAAATGCTTACCCAGACTCAAATCCAGGGCGTGGGTCCTTGAAGGTAGTGGTGCGAGTGTTGTGGTCCACGAAGTAGCGCACACCCTCGTTTGTGTACTTCATCTCCCAGCCGGGAGGCAGCGGCGGCTCCTGGATCATCCTGCCGACAAGGAAGGGGTCACCGGGCAGGCACCTCAGACACCTCTCACCCTGAGGTGCAGCCCTCCAAACTGCCGCCCTTGGAGACGACCTTCAATTTGCAGCTCCGTACCACGCAAAAGGAAGGATTCATGGTATGGGATTAGCGAGCGCCTACATGCAACCCAAGACAGGAGCCCTGTCTGCACTGCACTCTCAGCCACGGCCAGGACTGGCCACAGTTACAGCTTCACTCTCTGCGGGAGAGGTCGCCTCAGTAGAGACCTGGGCCAGATTCTCATCCGGGGCAGGTCTCTGGAGAACCACAACCCAGAGCTCTCAGGAGCCCAAGCAGAGCCATGGAGGAAGGTGACAGGGCAAGAAGCAAGCACCTTACTGCCCAGAAAGCCTTGAGTCTTCCCCATCACTTCCTCATCTCTACCCTCTGCACCTGCAAGCTGGAGAGCTGCCCCGCAATGCCAAGGGTTGCAGTGTCCAACCCTCCTGCTGCTGCCTGCAGTTCTCGGTGCTTTTGGCTCCCCAGTGCTGCAGCCCGCTCGGTCCCCCGGCATGGACAGCTCTCAGTACTCAGCAGCCCATCGCATGGACCTTCCGAAACCACAAGCATCCTCCCTGCTCTCCCCGCAGGCTGCCTACCCTTGTGTGCGAGGGTCTTCCCACTGGGTGGTCCGTGTGTTGTGGTTCACGTAATACACTCGCCCATTGTCCTGTCTCTTCTCTAAGAGGAAAGGGAGAGGAAGCATTAGTTGGAGCACCCTGGCCAGCACTGACCCACAGTCCCAGGAACAGCCCTCCCGTTCCCAACACACGATAAGTTTGTCAGCTCCCCCTGTCCCACCTTCCCGGCAACACTGCCCTGGCTCGTTTAGAAAAAACAAGTTAAAAAACCCTACATTTCTTCTACGTGCACAAGCTGCTGCACCTCCAGGGAAGGCTGGCCTTCTCCGGTGCCTCCCAGGCCAGCATGCGGAGAGGTGCCACGGCAGAGGCCAGCCCTGCCAGCATGCTGCGAGGCTGGCACAAGAGGTGTGCTCGGCCACGCATCTCACGGGGCAGGTGGCACACACACCCCTCCTCGGACACGCAGAGCTCCGCAAGCACAGCAGCCCTCTAAGGCGGATCTGCAGGTGCTTTCTCAAACGCATCCAAACTCCCTGCATGGCCCAGCTGCCAGCACACAGCTCGTGCTCCCGGCATTGCGCTGCACAGGCATGCACACCCGCACCTCCTTCTGTTGCGCACACGCATAAAACAACCGTGCCACTCACACCAGCACCACTGCCCGACCCCACTCTCTGCCTCGAGCCTCACACACCTGCAGCACACTTATGCGGTTGCACAGCAGCCGCTCAACACACACTCCCCACATGTGCCACACACGCTTCCCCAGGCACCCCCTTCCCAACACGTGCTCACGACACTATTTGCACACTTAGAACAGCAAATGCCTCCCAGCCGTGGCTGGGTACCATGTGCCCTGGCCTGGCGGTGATCCTGTGCCCGCTCCCCACCCCGCCAGCCCCCGGGTGCCTGCGCACACCCTATGCACTCCCTCTTGTCCTGCCTGCACGCCTGCCGACGCCGCTCTGCCTCTCGACAGCCACCCACCCTGCGCACACCCACGCACACTCGCTGCCTTCCCACCAACACGTGTGCCCCACACGCAACACACCTCCTCCCTCCATGTGCCTGCGTCACTCCCTGCACGCACGGCCCTGCTCCATGCCGGCAAGGACGCCCTGCACGCACACTCCCCTGTCACCTCCCAGCCACTGCGGTCCCCCTCGCTCCATCTCACTCCCAGACTGTGGAAAGCAGCCCCCACACTGTGGCTCCAGCAGATCCCACATGTGACGACCAGGACTGCATCCATCCTGAGGATCCCCACCCGAGGGTGCTCAGCTCCATGCAGAGCTGTGTCCCCCCCCAAGTCTGCCCAGCTGACCCTGCAGACAGCTCCCCTCTCCTCGCTGATGCAGGAGGTGGGGCACCCAGCATGGCAGCAAAGGTTCCAGCACTGTCCCCATCGAGACACTGCCCTTGGAGACCCTCTTAGCAGCCTGGCCACCCTCTGTCCTGCTCCAAGCTCCCTGCAATTTTAACCCCTCTCTTGCCCTCCCTGCCTGCCCATCTGCTGCCCAACCGCACCCACAAGCATCCCAGCCTGCCCTCTCCAGGGATGCTCTCACCATGGGAATGGCACAGGGACCTTTCAAAACGTCCCAACACACTTGGGCCATGCTGGCAGGCAGCCCCGCTTCTGATGGCTCCCAGCCCCGCTGCGGACCAGGGCAGAGCATCCCTGGAGGCAGGCACGGCAGCGGGACGGATCCCTGCTCAGCAGAGGAGGGGTCTGGGGACGAGCGAGGAGTTGGATCTCCAACCTTTCCCCCTGTCCAAAGAACAACCACAAGCACTTCTGCATTCAGTAGCTGAGAGAGACTGGGAACTCCTCCAGGAAAAGGGGAAAAAAGGAAAAAAAGCTGGATTTCAAATCAGAGACTGTGCTAATCACGGGCAGACTCAGCCCCACATCCAGGAGAGCATGGGGAACACTGGCTCCCCAGCCACCGTTCCCATTAATGCCAGGGACGGGAGCGAAGGAGCTGCTGACAGCACCATCCTCCCTGCGAGGTGGGCAGGGTCCCATTCAGGTGACCGTGGACCATCCCCGGCAGGCTGTCTGGTGAACGTGGTGGCAGGCAGGTGAGGTGGCTCAGTACTTACCCCAGCCAGGAGGAAGAGGACCGAGAGGATCATTGTCGGACGGAGCGCCAGATGACTAGAGACAACAGAGAGGGCAAAAACACAAAATAAAAACCAGGGCAGGGATGCCTGGGAAGAGCAGAGTGCGCCCGCTCCCACTCGCCTCCCCTTGGCCCGCAGCTCCCAGAGAACTAAAAAAAAAAAAAAAAAAAAAAACCCCCCCAAACAAAAAAAAAAAAAAAAAAAAACACACCACAC